CCCTGCAGGCATTCAAGGCCAGGCTGGATGTGGCTCTGGGCAGCCTGGGCTGCTGGTTGGCGACCTGCACACAGCAGGGGTTGGAGCTGGAGGAGCGCTGTGGGCCTTTGCAACCCAGGCCATGCTGGGATTCTAAGTTGACAATACTGAAACGAAAATGTGTCAGTCCAATGTGAAGTCAAATTGAAGACATTTAGTCAAGATCACAAGAAGTAAGAAGCCAATAATGAGAAAATTGCTATAAAATCAACTGTTTGCATTGCTCTCTGGAAAAAAAGTTTAAGAGCAAAAGGACAGTAGTGTTACCCGGGGCTGAGAGCCTGAGCAACACCATTACTGTAAGCACTGAAGTCCCAGGGAACAGCTGGATTTAAGTAAAACTCTGCTTTCCTCCTCCCTGCTCGTGGCAGTGACACTATCAGTGGGGTACATGGTGAGCTGCTGGCCATAAGTATAACTGGTGGGGGAAACCAAGGGCTCAGTATACTGTCAGTTTAGAGTCCTAGAATGGCATGGGTTGCAAAGGACCACAGTGCTCACCCAGTTCCAACCCCCTGCTGTGTGCAGGGTCACCAACCAGCAGCCCAGGCTGCCCAGAGCCACATCCAGCCTGGTCTTCTCAGGTCGTAATGTTTTGTGGGGGCTGGGTTAACTCTTTTGTGTAGAAGAAAGCCTTTCTCCATTTGCTTACTTCACCTCTTCAGTCCAGGTTGAGCCAAAACACCTGAAATGGACAGGAAAAAAAGAGTTCTTTAAAGTGTATTGCATTTTTATTGCCAGTTGCTCATAGTATGGGGAAATCTTTCCTGTGTCTGTAACAATTGGTTTCCTACGTGTTGTTTGGGTAAACTTGGTCTATGAACTCACAGGACTGTTAGGGAGCAGCCTGAGAAGCTGGGGTCTGCAGTGATCCTTCTTGAGGTTAATAATGCTGTGCTTGTTGTGTTATCTTATTACACAGCAGCAACCACTCAGTGCTTACTGATAATCAATGCTGTTAGCCTGTGGTAATTGCTGGCTGTCATCTGACTGCGATTCTTCTTCTAGGCAGAGGTGAAAGGTTTCAGAAAAGCTTAGTAAGAAGACATACCCTGATTTTCTTTTTTAAGCTGTGCTCTTGTAGCTGTGTTTCTGCTTGTTCTTTGTATCTAGCCTATGCTGTCTTACTCCATGGTCCTGCCAACTCATGGTACTGTGCTTGAAGACAAGGCATAATTTCTGAAAACATAGTTCACATGGGCATTACTCATGGGTTATTGGTTTTGTCTGTGGATAGACAACAGCCTGCTGATAGCAGTAGTAAATCATTTTGATAAATGGTCATTAAATGATAGAGTGTTTTGACATAGAGCAGTTAATGAGTTCTTGTATAAAAGCATGCTCTCAGGGCACCAGCCAGCTTGTTCAGGCAGATCACCTAAATGAATATAAAGAGTTCACTGGTGTTCAGTCATCGTTGGCCCTGGCATGGTGTGAAATTCTTCCTGTTAAATGAAAAAACATTGCTTTTCAGTCAATCTCTCTTCCCTAGATGATGCTCTTAGAACCCTGTGATTACTGCTGTTGCTCTGAGTGCTATTCTCTGTAGTCCAGTGTCAGAAACTGGTCACCATTCTCTAGGTAGGTAGGCATGGAGGAAGATTTGGGATGGGGTAAGTCCCTGCACTTCCCCTGGGCTGGTGGATTGTTTTACCCATGTCTGTGTGTGCTATTCCCATTTTGCTGAAACTGGCACAATAGACAACGGAACTGAAGCTGGCCAAGAAGCAGTACAAAATAAATAAGTAAGTGGAGAAATCTTTGCAGTGTCTTTACATTTTCTGCTAGGCTCATGGGGGAAATGGTCGTCAGATTTTACTGAAATCCATTTCTTAGCTTTAAGCAAATAATGTAGGCTACTGTTTAAACACACCTCTTCATAACTGCTCGGAATTCTTTGCTTGGTATCTGAGCCTTAAAATTTTACGAAGCTTGAACTAAAATTATATGCAGTTATTGGCATTAATGCAGCAGTCAGCAATTTTTCATAAATAGCATTTGTTACAAAAGCAGAGACCTCCTTTTGACCTTCTGGTAGTAGGTCCTAAAATCTTGTAGATGGGAGAGGGAAGGAGAGGTGGTGAGTGTTCACATGGCTCTGTATAAGCAGGGAAGGAAGAAAGGGCTGTTATTTCTGGTTTAAAAAACTTGATTATTTTTTTTTTAACGCAGCAGTGAGGCCTGTGGTAGTCTGAGATAGACAGGGAGCTGAGCAGAATAGCGAGGGCTGAACAGCAATAGGAGCTGCAGTAGGTAAAAGCAAGAATCTGTCTCCAGTATAAGCTTGGATATATTAAGTCCATGTTAAGTCAGTGCCTGAAAACTTCAGAATTCTTAAGTAGTTGAGGTCTGTTATTTTAACAAGCATTAGATTTGAACTAGTATTTGTTTTTTTAATGGAGAAAGAAAAAGAGGAAGTTTTCTATGTGGTCTTTCTTTACCTGTTTGAGAATAATGGCATTTTCCCCAGAGGGTGGTGAGGCACTGGCACAGGTTGCCCAAGGAGGCTGTGGATGCCCCATCCCTGCAGGCATTCAAGGCCAGGCTGGATGTGGCTCTGGGCAGCCTGGGCTGCTGGTTGGCGACCTGCACACAGCAGGGGGTTGGAACTGGATGAGCCTTTGCAACACAGGCCGTGCAGTGATAATGGCATTCTGATTGCAGTCTCATGTCACACTGAGCACACACTGTCATCTGTAATGCTGTGGAACAGCATGGGACAGTTGGACTGTGTTACATCAGACCTCTGTTATAAATAAAATCCTGTTTGCCTGTGCATCCATCTATTCCACGATCTCTAAATGTCAGGAGCTCTCAGCACACATTTCTTATCCAAGAAGCAGTAATTGGCAAATAGTTCATTTACCACACAGCTGTATTTGTTGTTGCTGTAATAGCATATTATTTACCAGTGAAGACATTTAAAGCTTTCATACTTTTCCATCAGAGAGTATCCTCACAAATCCCTAATCTATTTATTTGATTTTCTCTAGATTTATGTAAATATTGAAAAAGAGGCGCCTTTCTGTATATTTAAAGCACCTTGGGCATACGGTAAGACTGCATTGCAAACAAAATCTGAAAAGTGGAGCAGTCTGCATCTGTCTCCCCAGGAGCAAACTAGGCAGCTCAAAAGCTCACATTTCTCCTTCTCTCTCCCATTAACAGTTTTCTCCCATTGTCATTCACTTTTTTTTTTTTTTTTTTTAAATATCACTACACCACGTATTAAAACTGTTTTAAAGAACTGAATAAATTGTTAAGGAGTAGGACATTTGAAAGAAACATGCAGCTGGGTGAAGGCTTACCCCATCCCCAGGCTCCGATATAAGTGCTCCAGTAATGTGGGGCTGTGAACAGGTTGGTGAAATTCACTTAACTGATCACAGTTTGAGAGGCCAAAGCCCTCTTGTTGAGTGAGTCTCTTACACAAGGTTTCATAGCATGGCCTGGGTTGCAAAGGCCCACAGCGCTCCTCCAGTTCCAACCCCCTGCTGTGTGCAGGTCGCCAACCAGCAGCCCAGGCTGCCCAGAGCCACATCCAGCCTGGCCTTGAATGCCTGCAGGGATGGGGCATCCACAGCCTCCTTGGGCAACCTGTGCCAGTGCCTCACCACCCTCGGGGGGAAAAACTTCCTCCTAATAATTTGATTTTATGAAGCGTGCTTTTTTTTTTCTTTTTTTTCCCTTAAATGAGATAGCATGGAAGAAAATAGCCAAGTAACCTTATGTCTGTGCTTGGAGGTGTGAAATGCTGCACTTCTCCCAAACTTTGTTTGGTTTTATATTCCTGTGTTACTTGCAGATCCGTTAAGGATTTCTTTGGTGCTCTCTACCAGACTTAGAAACTGCTGGTGGCCATTTCGTGCTTTGCCTCCCTTTTGGTTTTGCCCAACTGAGTACACATAGAAAAATACGCAAAGGGTTCTTTTTTGTACCACGTAGAATGAAACATTTATAACATGTTAACATGATTATGCTTGTTTATTTTTGCATTGTGTCCCAGGTGGCAGAATTTCAGAATTATCACTGGGTTGTGGCTTTAGAGAGCTTGAACTCATCTGGGGAAACCAAGACTTCTGAATCAGGATGCACCAGCTTGCAGTTAGCAGACAGTACAGGAAGGAGAGTTTCACTTTCACCATACCAATTGCTTTCTGGTTTTGATACTGCATTTTAATCTCATCACGTTGTCACATCTGTTGTGTATGGTATTGGACTGTAAATTGTGGGGTTTTGCTTCTGGCTTTTGCCACTCACCTGAGGCAGCTGATTCATTGTGCTATCTTAGTGCCTGCTAGCTGAAGATAATCTTACGTTCTCACTTTGAGATCCATGAGGGAAAAGCCCTGTGTAAAAGGCAGTGTTACTTGAGAGGCCACTGAGGAGTTAGCAAGCTTATAATATGGCACAGAAAGGAATAATACTGCAACACTGGAGTGCTGCAGTAAATCTGAATGGGAGATCTGATAGATAGGTGAGGTCACTTTATTTTAAGCCAAAGCCAACTTCACCTCTGCAGTCTCATACCCACACGCTCACAGATTGAAACATGTAGCTGTTTTTGTAGATAAATAATATAATCTTAAAAAAAAAAAAAAAAACAACACATTTCTTCATCTGATTTTCCTTTGCTGAGGCACAGAACATCGGTGCTACTGAGGGGTGGCACAGCAAGCTGTCATATACATGTCTTGACTGCCTATTTGACAACAGCAGCAATTCCTATCTGTAAGGCTATACTCCTAACGTGTAATCACTCCTTCAAAGCCTACTTGCACTGCTCAGATCTTAATCTTGCAATCTCTTCTAGGTTGTTGTAAAATGTGCGGTGGGTGATGTGTTAATAGAAATCAAAGAACTCCAACTCCATGCTGTGCAGCAGATTTTGGCTTTTTTTTTTTTTTTTTTTTAACTTCTGGATAATTAAAACAATTCCTGATTCCTGATCATTCTGACAGATAAACAGAGGTCATATGACAACTGAAGCAAAGAGGGCTGCCAAGATGGAAAAGAAGCTGAAGATTTTGCTTGGTGGTTATCAGTCTCGAGCAATGGGCCTCATCAAACAGCTGAATGACTTGTGGGACCAAATAGAGCAGGCACACCTGGAGCTGCGTACCTTTGAGGAACTGAAGAAACATGAAGATGCTGCTATTCCACGGAGACTGGAGGTGAGTTTCCTCAGTGTGATGCCTTAGATCAAACGCAGACATTTTGTGGAAAGGATGTTTTTACAAAGCAAACTCTGAAGTTCACAGCCTGAGTTTGTACCAAGTTTTTAATGGTCTTCTTAAATTATACTTTTGCCTATTACCAGGCTCCTCTGCTGCACATTTCACTATCAAAGGTTCTGTGACATATTACAAGCTGGTACTAATCTACTAGCGTGTTCTTTAACTTTGCTTTTACTTTATTTCCTTGTGTGGTTTATTTTATTAATCTTCTGCTATGCATGTCAGCAGAGGTTCTGTGTCGGTCTTAATTTGGCTTGTTTTGTTTTTAATTACTGCTGGAACTTAAGAGTAGATCTGCAAGTTGTGTAAAGCTTTCTATTACCTTAAAAGTCAGTGAACCTGAATTTATAGTGAAATCCTTTTTTTTTTAAACCTTGATTGTATTCCTCTCTTAAACTGTGTTGTTGTTGTCAGATAAATGGACTTCTATAAACTGATATCATAACATCATTTTGGAACTGAATTTTAACATGGTCCACAGTTTCAGCAGCTAAATAGCTGTGGTGCCATTTCAGTTTTGAGCTGCCCTCCGTGTTCAGGCTCTTGCTTGAGCTCTACTCAACTCAGCAGGCTTGAGTTGCTGGCTGTCTGTCATTTGTGATCTTGACCATTGCCCCTGAGTAATACCAGCCTGCCTTGCTGGTTCTAAGTGATCAGGATGACTTTGAGGAGGAAAGAGGAGCTTCAAAGAGAAATACAAGAGTGAAAGGATATAAAATGAGCTCGTAGCTGGCAGTTTCAGAACCAGCAGTAGCTCTCATTCACACACTGCAGCATTAGCAGAACGGGATCTGTGGAAGGCATTACTGCAGGAAGGTTGGAAGTACTGCAGGCTGTACTGAGCAGGGTTGACTAAAAAGGTTTCTGAAAACTTTGTGGAAGAGGAGAATAGTAGATAACTGTTTTTTACAGGGAAATGCTTATGTGAAACCTCCCTTTCTGAAGCATTTCTTATCACCTGCTGTTAAAAACAGGATGCTGAAATAAGATGACCAGAATGCTGTCGTTTTTCAAATAATTTTGTATTCTTGTATCTCAGCTTCCTCAGAAGGAACTGAAATCTAACCTTTGCTAAAGATCTGCAGACATGTGACTGACGGATTGTTTTCCTTTCAGTGTCTGAAGGAAGATGTGCAGCGACAGCAGGAGAGAGAAAAGGAGCTCCAGCAGAGATTTGCTGATTTCATGTTGGATAAAGAGACTTTTCAGTCGAAGTATTAAAGCACAGAGTTCCTTCATCACTGATGTAAGGTTTTTCAAGTATGCAGATACTTCTCCAGCAGCTTTTGCCATCAGTTGCAGAAAGCAAACGTAGTCTGCTGTTTGTATCTCACCCACTTTTTTTCCATTACTGGACTATTTCTGATGCTGTAGGTATGAATGGCTTTGTCAAGGATTTAAAAAAAAAAAAAAAAAAAAAAAAAGATTGAAATCTCCAACCCTTCATTAAAAGAAAACCATCACTGTGGTATGATTTTAGCCATGTCTTCATTTACTAGGATCATCACATTATTCCTGGTATTTTATCAGTCTTAAGATCTGTAAGGTAGATGCCTGCAGAGTAATGCCTTTTGAATAAACCTGGAATGTCAAAAATAATCATGAAATGAAATGTCTGTCTTTTGACTAAAAAAAAAAATCCACCCCAGCCCAGATATCTGTCATGATACTGAATAAATTATTGTTAATTATTCTTCCCCACTTTTTAGTTCCCCTCAAAAAAACTCTTACAACAGGTAGGACTCGTGCAAGGTGATTTTGGTCTATATAAAACAGTGTTATCAGGGTGGTGAGGTTCTGGCACTGCTGCCCAGAGCTATGGTGCCCCATCCCTGCAGGTGCCCAGAGCCATGAATGGGCCTTGGGCAGCCTGAGCTGGGGGTTTGGAGCTTGATAATCTTTAAGGTCCCTTCCAACCATTCTTTGATTCTCTCCTGCATATAGCTGAACATTCCCCTTACATCAGAACATTCAAATGCTCATGATGTGAATCAGTGTAACTTCATCTTGTTGCTTGTCTCTGATCACCATCAGTTATTTATTCTGTCCAGCTTTTAGAACTGGCCTTTGCTTTCAAGCCATGGTCAGTCTTCATCTTCAAGCATTTCTTAGGCATGTTGTGTGAGTTAACGTGAGCTGGTGAAAGGGACAGAATGAGATGAGAACTTGAGCAGGCTGAATTGCATGGATATGTCCCTACTGTGCCATAGCTCACGTTCAGCCTTGCACACTATCATGCAGGGCTGTTACATGCTAGCCCACAGTGCTTTGAGCTCCATGGTGGTACTTTGTGTTCCTCTTGGAAAGGGGGTGAGTTGGTGTGCTGTGTTGCCCAGAGCAGCCTTGGCGTGGGTTGGAGTAACCCAGCGGGCTCCTCTGACCACATCTCACAACAGGATTTCATTTTCTTACTGCTTTTTCTTCTGAATAGTAAGGATGGGATTGTTAAAAAGAGTGAATGCATCTTTCTATTTGTGGCGACAGTCTTTCCAAGTCCAGAATTTTTCCAAGTACAGCTTAGTGAGAACATTAAGTTAGATCTATGAAGTTAGGTGTCAGTATTTACATAATTTTATCAGCTATTCTCAATGCTTTTAATGTTAGCATTTGCCAGTCATCTTACGAGAGGATTGCTTTCATGTTCTGTTTTATTGTTTGTTTGTTTGTTTGTTTTTGGAGGTGTTCACCACCTCTTCAGTGATTGATCTTCCGTTCAACTCTTACAGGATGGGTGTTAGGAGCAATTGTTCGTGGAAATGCATGGGGAAAAGAAGGTAAAACTGTATATAACAGCACTGAATTCAAACATCAAGCTGCACATATCAGCAGGATTGGGGATGTGTAACTGCTTAAATGCTCTCCAGAGCAAGCAGCAAGCAATCAGGGAGGTTTGAGAGGTGGTTTGTAGGGGTAACCTGTAAGATCTCTGTTGATCACTGATGGGCACAGGTGATGGAGGCAGCCTTGCTCACCTGGACATGGGTCTGAAATCTTAATGCAATTATAGACTGCATATGTGTTAAATGTGTGGCTAACCCAGGGCACATCTGGAAAAAGGTATTAAGCATCAATCTTTTAGCATATGGGATAGCCTGTATGGGTTGTACCCAAAAGGAAAAGTGCATATCATGACAGTTCTCGTGGTTGTGTGGTGGCTAGAAGTATTAAGAGAAAACCCTTGTAGGTTTACCAATACCACAGCTACAATTATTTCTTTCTTTTTAAAGCTGCAACAGAGCCTCTGATGTTTTTTAATGTTTTTGAAAGCTTCAGAGCTAGAGAAGTATTTTGGTGTTCTGCCTCAGCAGATAGTTCTTAATGGTAAATTGAGAAGGATGGGGTGCTGAGGTGTGATTATGGCACTACATCTGCCTGTTTTTCCAGAAGTATTTCAGTGCTATGGGAAGATAATGCAGGCAGATGCTTGGGATGATGTCTGAGGCAGTTAGCCCTGAGTACCTGGCACTGCTTTGCTGCCATTGCTGAGCTCAGATGAAAGAAGTGCCAGAATTCACATGGGAAGTTCTGTGTAAGTGCATGTTGGACCCATAGAGGTGCGCAAGCAGGAGCAGGGCCAGGCTGGGGCACCTGAGATCAAGGATTGCTGGTGTGACAGCTGAAATTGAAGCACTTAGGAGATTTGTTCTACCAAAGCTGGGTGCTGGCAGGCACTGATGGTCCCAACAATCATAGAATCACCAAGGTTGAAGAAGACCTCCAAGGTAATCCAGTCAAACCATCGTCTTACCACCAATATTTCCCCACAAAACCGTGTCCCTCAGTACAGCATGTAAATGTTCCTTGAACATCTCCAGGGGCAATGACTCCACCACCTTCCTGGGCAGTCCATTCCAGCAACTGATCTCTCTTTCAGAAAAGAAATTATTCCTAAAATCCGAGCTGAACCTCCCTTGGCACAACTGCGGGCCATTCCCTCTCGCCCTATCACTAGTAATGTGGGAGAAGAGGCCAACCCCCACCTCACCACCACCTCCTTATGGGGTGTTGTAGAGAGCAATAAGGTCTTGGGCTTAGGCCCATTTTCTATTGAATTCTACTGAATTTCAGCCAATGATTCCCTTCCTGGAACAGGACTTGGCGTTTGTATATTGGATCAGTCCTGCAGCTGGAGCTCTTTGAAGTTGGTGGAGTTGATAAGAGTGTGATGGGCTTCCAATGAAATCAGACTCGGGTACCTGAGGAAGGTAACAGGACAGCATAAATTAGCACGGCTGATAACAACCAAAAGATGTGCTGGGAGAAAGGGGGAGGCTTCTAACATGCAGGAGGTTCTCTGTAAGAAATCCCACAGTGCTGGAGCCAGCTCCTAAAACGTGGCAGATATCCAATGAAACGAGCACCGCGTTAAACTTGTAATGAGTTACTGCAGCAAGTAACAGTCATATGCACTAATTCCCCACCTATATGGAGCAGAGAGTTTGTGTGCCACCAGACAGCATCTTCTCTTTGCCCCTTGCTGCTGCTTTTGTGCTCTCGTTTGCTTGATGTGAGTGTTGGAGCAGCCCTTAGATCCAAGTTGGATGTGTAATCTGTTGTAGAGCCAGAGGCTGGGCTAGCTTTTGAGGTTGAAAGTGCAAACAGCTGTGAAAATGGGGCAGAATTGCCTCTTCCAGAGGCTGTGCCACTTGGTTCTGTGGCTGAAAAGACTGAAGTGAGGACTGCAGTGCCCCGAGATAAGAAGCTGATATGAGGAACTTACCCACAATTAGGCACTTCTAGCACATGAGAGTATCTGAGCCCCTGATGGTAAATACTGGAGATGTGATGCTTTTTGCAAGCATGGCCTGAACTCAGATTTCTAAATAGGAGGTGTCAAAACCCATGATGGATCTTTTTGCTTTGGCTGCAAACTAGCTAGTGGTGCCTTCAAGCCGTGTGTGAACTTTGGCTTGCCTTTGGTGTCCCAGGACAGCGATACTGCTGGGGAAGATGACATTACTGCGGTCTGGACTTCATCTGCCTCGCATCCATCTCAGGAATCCGACGTACAGTTGTCTTCCACAGAGCGGGTTCAAAGCAACACCTGTCTCCCGAGCAGGTTTTAAAAGCAAAGTATTAAATAGCATTTCCCCCACTCTCTTAGTTCAGCGAAATGCACTTTGAAAAATGGCCAGATACTTATCTGAAAGCAAAGTGTCCCCGTAACTGGTTCCAGACTTGTGTTTTCTGCCTTTCTGGGGCTGCAGCTTGTCTTTTTGCTTACCAACAACGGAAGACGTGGTTCTGCTTGTCTGGAAGTCTTGTGCTCCCATTGACTCCCATGGGAGCAAGAGCAGCCCCTGACTCAGGAAAAGACATAAAGCATGTGCTTACAGTGGATGTAAGCCAACCCATTGCTGTAAACCCCTGAAGTGCATGCAATTGTCTGATCACGTTAAAAATTGTATCTGGTCTCAACGTGGCCCGTGTTGAATAAGGCCCTTCATGACTTTGAGGCAATGGAGAGTAGCAGGGGTTAAAAAGAGGGGCCTCAGAGTTGAAGGGCAGAATCATAGAATCACCAAGGTTGGAAAAGGCCTCCAAGGTCATCCAGTCCAAACATCCACCTACACCAACATTTCCCCACTAAACCATGTCTCTCAGTATGGTTCTGGAACACCTCTAGGGATGGTGCCCCACCTGAAGTCAGCCTGGATCTCCTCTGCCCCTCTCCCTCTCCTCTCGATTATTCCCCAGGCGATAGGAAATGGGATATATGTTTTCTTGGTCTTCTCTGCAATTTATTATGAGATGCCTTAGTTTCAAGGTTAGAAAAATCTCCCAAATCAAAAATCTTTTGCATATTGGATTAGACAGGTCTGCCTCATCAGGTCACTTTAAGGTTTCCATGTTACAACAGTGGTCCTGATGCATTTGGCCTCCTCAAAGGAGATGGAATTACTTCTTTTAAGATCACTGATGTACACTGGAAGCGTTTATGAATTGTGACATGAGGAGACACAGACTGTCTTCTTATTTGTGCAGCTCGTACATCAGATCCATTGCCAAATACATGCTGCAGGTCAATGCCTCAGCATCAGACCAGAGAGCACACCGCAATCCTCTCTTCTTCCTCTCCTATTTCTCTCCCTCCTTTCTATCCTCCTCAAAAGAAACGCAGGGTCTATTTTGTGCAATTACCACTCCAGCAGCATTTTAAGGCACGTTGTGCACCTCAGGTGAGATCTTGGCCCCAGTGAGGTCAAGGGAAGATTTGGTTTCAGTGATGCTGAGATTTCCTCCGCTCTCCTCCCATCTGCACTGGATAAGCCTTTCTGTCTGGAGAAGAAAAAGATCCTCTTCTGACAAATAGTCACAGAGGCAGAGTGAAGCTGAACCAGCCAGCTGGGATTACATCTCTACTCCATAGCCAAGAAAAGCTTTTCCAGGGCTAATTATGACTGAAGGGACTGAATCTACCGGCTGAACCTC